GAAAGTCCAATAAGCATCTCAGTGGTTCTAGTCCGTCATTCTGCTGACTTCAACATGTGCGCTCTCAGCAGGTCACTGACAAGCCATGCCGGTTGCTCAGTCCCTGACCTGCCACACAGGCTTATGGCTGGCTCCTCAGCAGGGTAGGGATGCTCTGTGACATGAGGCCCGTTCCACCTTCCCAGCAGTAACAATACAAAGAGTGAGCCTGGGGCTTGTGGCTCACACCTGTAATCCCAGCAACTCAGGAGGCTGAGACCTGAGGACTGCAGTTTGAAGCCAGCCAGAAGTTGAGTTGTGGCTCAGGCCTGGAACAAAAAGTTCAGGGACAGCACCCCAGCCCTGAGTTCAATCCCCAGAGTCGGCACAAAAAATAATAATAATAATTTCCAGGGGAAACAACTCCAGGATGCCAGCGATGGGCATTTCGGGAAGTCATGATGCCGTGCAGACCGACGGCAGCTGGAATAGCAGGAACGTGATTTTGCCCCAGACAAGGTTTGGAAAGGGGAAGTGGAGGAAAGGGGAAGGCATCATGGAAACTCAAAGCCAAGAACTGTCCAAACTGCCCCCAAAGGGAACGCACTGATAAATGGCTGTGGAATGTTTGATGACTAGCAAACTGTGAGAAACACAGAAGCCCGAGGAAGAGCCTGTGCATGTGCTGGGGGGGGGGGGGGGGCGCCGAGGAGAGGCCCTGGGCTGCGGAGGTATCCCTGGGTTCCAAGGCCAGGCCTCTGGACTTGGTTCACCCGTGCGCGGAAGGGTTCTGGGGAAAAGAAATACATTTCTTCACACTCCCAAACCTAAAATCTGTATTCCTGTCATGGGTGACAGTGGTTTGTGTTGTTGCTGTGAACTTTGGAAGGGTGGAGATGATTCCTTTCCTGGGTGGCAAATGAGGACAGCACCCCAACACCGTCTCCTGACCCGGACAGGCCTTCCAAACCAAGGACAGTGGTTCCAGAAGCAACAGCTTCTGGAATGTTGCTGAGGCCGCACAAACTTCACCACGGGTGAATCTCGGCCAGTGGAGGAAGGCTCTCTTCCACAGTAAGCACCAGCCACAGGCCCCTGGCTTCCATCTGACATCTCAGCAGTTTCTGGGTCTTTCCTGAGCCAAGTTAGGTGTGCGGTTTGTGAGGCGTTGGGAATATTAGCCTCTGCGGGTTTTCTTAGAATCTGCCTTCTCTCACACAAGTGAACACATTTTATTATGAATTAAATATGAGATTGCACCTGAAGTGTGTGGGCCGGGGAAGGGAGAGTGGACAGAGGCCATCAGTAGAATCCCAGCTGAATCAGTCAGTGTCCTGGGCCGCACTGGGCCTTGGTGAGCAGGGCTCGGGAAGCCAGCACTTCCCTCAAGGTGGCCACCCCCCTGGTCCACAGCTGAGTGGGGTGCAGCCACCAGGGCATGTATGCGTATGTAGGGGGAGGTGGTATTCCTATGCAATCGTACAGCTATCTACAGATGTACATGCGTGTGGTCACTGTGAAGGCAGAACATGGCTACAGCTACCATACCCTTCTGCGAAGCAGCGAAACTTTCAAGAGAGCCAACATGGAGAAAGAAAACATTTCTCTCTGACACTTGTGGCAAAGTGGTAGCTCTTAAAACCATTAAAAGAAAAATGCAATGATTTGAGCCCTGCCCAGAAGTCCTGACTCAGATCTTTCTTTCTGAGCCTCAGTGAAAGGTGCTGCCTCCCCCCAATGGCGCTGGCCTGTGCCCCCCCCCGCGTCCTTGCCCCCCCCCGCGTCCTTGCCCCCACTGTGCCCCTCCCTCTGCTCACATCCATAGGGTAGCCTCATGTTCTCATAAGTGCTGTCATTTCGGGAATCCTTCAAAGTTTCTGCGTGGTTTGACTCAGCCTACAGGCAGAAGGAGGCTGGGGAAGGAGGCTGAGCCTCGGGTTCCGGAGAGGACGCCAGGCTTCCGCTCTCCGGGAGCTTCTCTCCTTTGCTGCAGGGCACACACATGTGCACATGCGTGTATCAGGAGCGAGAGTAAGGTGGTGGCGGCGGAGCCCTTCCCACTGGCCAGGTGCTGAGCCAAGGGTCCCCGCCCAGTGGTCGCCAAGCAGGGGGATCTGTGTCAGCCACATTTCTCAGATGAGAGAAACCAAGGCCACAAAGCAGGGATGGAGTTAGAGACACAGCCTGGGCTGATGACTCCGAGGCCGGCAGCCTGAGAGCAGGGAGCCTTCTACAGAAACAAAGTGGGTGGGTGCAGAGAGAATTGTTAGAGTGTGCAAGTACTGGGGCTTGAACTCAGCCTCATACCTTCACTGGGCTTTTTCGTTCAAGGCTAGAGCTCTACCACTTGAGCCACACCTCCACTTTTGGCTTTTTGCTAGCATGGTGGAGGTGGAAGAAGAGGAGAAGGAACAGAGGGAAGAGGAGGAAGAGAAGAGGGAGAGAAGGAGGGGAGGAGGGAGAGGAGGAGGGGAGGAGGGAGAGGAGGAGGGGAGGAGGGAGAGGAGGAGGGGAGGAGGGAGAGGAGGAGGGGAGGAGGGAGAGGAGGAGGAGGAGCAGGCTGACTTCACCGGCATGGGCTGTATCCTGCGCTGAGGGAGGGCTCCATGTTTTCAGCCTTTCCCAGTCACTTCCACATTAATTAGTAAGGGTATCATTTTATAAATTACAGCTCCGTATCAGAGGAAAGTAGAGTTTATCTTAATTCAGTCAGCTGCGTGAGCTGCAGTGCCCTAATTTTAGCCTGGCGCTTCAGGGATCCCCATGGGGTGTGGAATTGACAGGTCTCCGTGGAGGAATCCCCACGGGCCTGGCGAGTCTCCTGTCTGCCTCCAGCAGCCATCCTGGTGGGACGTGGACCTGAGTGGCATCTGGCTTACCATTAGCAATTCAGATTTGGATGCGAATCCTCCAAGCAGCACAGCAAGGCGGCTGTGGTGAGCTTTGGGGCCAGGAGAAGCAGAGCCATGGGGCAGGTTGACAGGAGCAGAGCCTGGATGGCCGGGCTTGCTCAGAGGTGGTAAAGACTGGACAATCTGCTCCTGCAGGGAGGCCCCGGGAGATGTACCTGCATGGAGACATGCTCTGGGCCCCAGAGTCTTATTGTCACTGTGTGCTTGGACCTCCTTCAAAGGACTCTCCATTACTGACCCGAGTCATTTGCCCAGCATCTGCTTTCTGTTGGAAATCTAGGAAGCGGTCGCTGGGGAGTACTCAGTATGCAGGAAGCACTCCTGGGCCCTCTGACATCCACAGGAGGCTTAATAGTAGGTGAGGCCTCTGCCACCTTCTCTGACGTGGGACGGACATGCTCTTACTCCATCTAGGAAGGTGAGAGCAGGGCAGGAGAGAAGAGAGAGCCCAGGCCGGGCGCTGGCGGCTCACGCCTGTAATCCTGGCTCCTCAGGAGGCTGAGATCTGAGGATTGCAGTTCAAAGCCGGCCCAAAACCAGCCCAAAGCAATCCAAGGCAGGAAAGTCCATGGACTCCTATCTCCAATAAACCACCAGAAAACTGGAAGTGGCGCTGCAGCTCAAGTAGTAGAGCGCTAGCCTTGAGCTGAAGAGCTCAGGGACAGCGCCCAGGCCCAGAGTTCAAGACCCATGACCAACCGAAAAAAAAAAGAAAAAAGAGAACCCAGGTACAGAGGGATATCAACCACTGCCTGCAGTCCCGGCACTGGCCCGAGGCCCCAGCAATGCCAGGGGACAGGCGCCATGGGGATCAGCATGTGCGGTGGTGACCACGCCATGAACTCTGAACCCTCACAGCCCCCCAGTCTTGTCTCAGCACCCACACTACCAGCTGCTGGCACCCCAGGAGTCCCGCTGCAAGGAGCCAGGATGGCTGGGGCCGGAGGCAGGAAGGGCCTACTTGTCAGTTAAACAAAAGAGTAATCGGCAGCCCTGCTCCAGTGTGTACTTTCCCTGTCACCCAACAGCCCATTACCGCGTCACAGCGCCGCGCCCTCACACAGGTCACTCTGTTTAAAATGACACGGTTAACGCACATGTCAGCGGCTGACAGTCCCCGCCGTCCTTCAGAGAGGAAAAGCTGCAGGCGAGGCCCGCTCTTATCTGGGGACGCGCACGGGTCTGTCATCCAAGTCAGGCAGAACATGATTTCTCCCGAGAGCACTTTTTTCATTTCCAGATTTTAAGAAAATCAAATAAGCACCATTTGTCTTCATCTGAATATGCTTGACCTGCTCAAATGACGATGTCTCGCATTTTCTAACAGGCTACATATGCTGAATGCGAATGAGCGGCGGGGCAGAGCGCGCGGCTTTAGATCTCTTTGGGAGCTGGCCGTGGAGGAGGAAGGGCGATCGGGGCTGGGTGTTCAAACTCACTGAAGGCCAAACCCACACTGAACCAGGGCCGGGGGTCCAGGCCAGACCCAGAGGTGGGTGAGGGGAGGGCCAGCCTGTGAGCCATACCAAGCCATAGTGAAAGCGCGCCATTGGGTAACTAACTCTTCAAAATATAGAAAACATGGACTCCGGTTGGCAGATCGGATGGCGAGGCAGAAATAGTGGACACAGCCTTTGGCTTCACTTTACCAGGTTTGCACTGATCTCCGGACTGCTCCTTTTGTCCTCGTGGCACGGGGTGCAGAGGTGGGCGCCAGCCTTGAGACTCGGGGTGCACCTGCTGGAAGGATAGCCCCCCATCCCCGACCCACCCCTCCACATCAGACACATCACCCAGTAAGGCCTGTGCAGACAGAATATTGTAGAACAGGTGGGTTGATAGGTACACCCTAGCGTGTTTCACGTGCCCGTCTTCACAACCTCTTGGGGCGTGGGAGTCACTTTCTACAGAGCAGACCTCATGGGGTGCAGACAGTGCTAAGGGGCTTGTTTGAAAGACTGGATGTCACACTGTAGGAGGCGTCTCTGAGCACAGCGGCCGCCCGCCCTGCACCCCTTAGAGGCTGGCAGGACCACAGCGTGTGGTGTGCTGTGTGGGGCGTGTGGGTGTGCAGTGTGCATATGTCGTGTACAGAGGGGCATGTCTTACCTTCTCTTCCTGGTCGCTGTCACTGTCACACTGAAATGAAGATGAGAGAAGAGAAGTTAGGCCAGGGCTCATGCTTTGACTTGGAGACCCCTCCTGTCCCCCCAAAAGGCATGACAAAGGAGGGTGGTGCTCCCTGGAGCTGGACAGAATGCATTCTGTCCTAGGGACACCACAGCCTCTGGGTGTCACATGCGTCTGTGGGGACCCTGGCAGGCAGGGCCACACCTGTGACGCCTGAGAATGGAGACACTCCCTACAGAAAACATGCCAGGGGTAAAAGGTCGGCTAATCAATGGCAGTGTAACCAGCAGAGTCACACCTTGGCTAACGGATCCCAAAGTCCCTCTGTGGACCTGGGTAGGGGAGACACAAAGCCAGCGTGATAATGAACCCAAAGTGCTGGGTTGTCAGCTAGAAACCAAGAGGGAAAGAGCACAGCTTCTTGTTAGAAATCCAGAGTGCTTTGTGGCAGGCTGTGGTGGTGGCCACCTGTAATCACAGCACTCGGGAGGCTGAGGCAGGAGGATTGAGAGTTCAAGGCCAGCCTGGGTAGCTCCGGCCAGCATCTTGTTTCAAATACTAACTAAATAAAGAAATAAAAAAGCAGAGGGCCCTGTTGATCCAGCACTGCCGGCAATCAGAGCGAGGGATGCTTGGATAACCGCAGGCCCCTGGAGAAGGCACGGCACCACACAGAGGACTGACAGGACCAGGGCCCAACACAGCTCAGGCTCCAGCCAGGGAGCACGGGGGACATGCGCAGAGCTGAGCAGTCGGAAGAAGACCCGCGTGGGTGGTGGAGACCACACCATGCAGGGGACGGTGATGGGGAGAACGTGTTGGCAGCCTCAATGCTGTCTGTACCAGGATGGTGCCTGGTGAGGGAGGGAAACAGATGGCAGAGCTGTTCTGACGAGAGAACCAACAGGACTCGCTCACACGGGGCGCGGGAGGGGAGACGGCGCGGAGTCTGCTCCATGCCAAGATTTTAGTGTGGCCACCTGGACATGCGAGCTGATGCAGCTAGGAGCAGAAATGGGGAGTGGATCTTCCTCAGGCACTCGCTGCTGGATGGAGACCTACAGCCATGAACAACTGCTTTTCCCTCATCTCTACCTTCCAAGAACTGGAGGCTGAAAAAGGTAAATATTCTCTTTCCCGGGTTTCCTTGAAGCTAAGCATGATCATAAGACCTATTTTTCAGCCATTGAGATTTGAAGTCTGCTGAAAGTTCCAGAATAAATAAAAAAGCTCAAGGAAAGGAGAAAAGGATGGGAAGGGATGAGAATGTGATGTCTGGATCCCCTACAGCCGTGGTGCAAAACGTGTCAAAGCCTAACCACCCATTGGGAGGTGAAACTAGAGGAAGATCAAGCCAGGGAACCATCTAGAACAGCCTGCTTCTGGACCTTTCTGTTCAGAAAACACTATGTCATCAAATGGTTTAAGCTACTGCTAGAGTGCTTTCAATGGAAGGCAACAAAGCACCAGGCAAGTGACTCTGCTAGTGTAAGACCGATCATGGGGCTTGGCCTCTACCCACCCTCACACCGTGCGACGTCACGCCATATTTCTTATCATGTGTCAACAGCACAGTGATGCGTATCAGTCATTATTAGGTACCAGGAAAAAGTAATATGAAATACATCAGAAAGGCAACACACACACACACATTACAAGGAATGACAAAGAAAAATACATAGCTTCTTAATCAAAATGAAAAATGAGAAGCACAACTCACATTTTTTGAAAAGAGGAAAGAGAACACTCTGTCCACACCCCATTCTTTGCCAAGAACATTCTAGAAGGTCCCTTGTGATTGCAAGTGGTGCAAGGAGGCCTGTGCCAGTGTGTCTTGGTGCCACAGGGTTGTCACACATCGAATGGCAGTGATTTGGCCAGGCCAGGACCACCATTTCCCACAGAGCTCAGCTGGTCTCTGTCCCCCCCGCCTGACAAGTGCGTGTCGATGACATGAGTCATGGACGGTGCCTGTCATGTATGGTGTAAATCATTGATGGCGTAAGTCACGGATGGCATCGCATATGGTGTAAAGTCTCAGGATGGGGTAAGTCGAGGGAGAGGAGAGAGCAGGCGATGCAGACGCTGAGGGCTTGGAACAACAGAAGGGACTGCGAGTTCTGCTGGCGCCCAGCGCGGCCCAAGCTCGGCCCGCTCCTCTCCCCCGCTCGGATCGTCACGGTGACAGCTGAAGGCCCCAGGATGCGGCTGTGTGTGGTGGCGGGCGGGCGGGTGTGGGGGGGAGGACAGGCCCCCCGCCCCGTCCTCGGAGCATGGAGCTTTCCATCAAAGTGTTAAGCTCCCTGCTTTCCAGCAGTCCAGTTCTAATTTCAAGGTCCACTTAATTCTGCATCAAGTAATTACTGCTATACCCAGAAGCACCTTGTCTCCAGAGCTAAGCATATGGCGCAGGGCTGAGGCCTACTGGTGCCCATTATGGAAGCAGCACGGGTGCCAAGCCCATTACAGCCGCGTGGGCCCACGCCACACGCGGGTGAGTGACGGCTCTGCCCAGGCCGCGCTGGAGCGTGCCAACGCAGCCTGGCTGCCCGGGGCCGCATGGTGCACTCGGCAAATGCTTCCCTGTCTGGTATTAAATTCCCACACTGACCCCAGGACTCCGCCGTGAGCTCTGCAGGAGCGCGCCATCCAATTTACAGCTCTGCTCTCTGGAGCCTGGAGTGCCAGCCCCTGGCAGAGACGGATGGTGGTCAGCCCTTCCAGCTCATAAATTATGCAAAGGCAATAAATGCACTCGGCAAACAGGGCTGCGTTTGCCCAGCCTGGCTCCAAGCACACTGCATAAAAAAAAAAAAAGAAGTCTGACACAGACAAGGGGTCTATTGCACCATAAAGGGTCTGTTGACAAGCTGACGGAGGCCCCTGGCCCTCAGGGGGTCTCTGCTTGGCTGTGGGGCTTCACCGGCTGCGTTATGATAAGGGAGTCTGTGTTGCGGAGTCGGGTGGGGGAAATTCCTGCCTTTCAGATGCTGTGGGGTTGCACGCCACTGCTCTGAGATGTGAGATGTGTGGGGCTTTGGCCAATGATCCTCAGTCACTGACGGTCAAAAAAGATGTGGCTGCCCAGCCCCCACACAGCCCCATCACTGTGGAAGCTCACCAGCAGCCACCTCCTGGCTCAGGTGATGTTTTGCAGGAGGCTAGGAAGTAAAATGCCCAACACAGAACTGGGGTTCCCCCTGACCTTGGCTGCTGCTGGCATTCTCACCCAGGGTCTGGATTTGGCTCGTGTGTTAACAGGTGGTACACCGACCCCCAATTAAAGGAGAGAGATGTCTGTGGCACATTTCTGAATTCCCTGAGAGAAGCTATAGATATTTCCCTCTATGCTACAGAGCGAGGAATATAAAAGGACTGTGAATGTGTCCACCCGAGGACCCGTGCCCACTCAAGTCTTCAGGCCACTGAACGCAAAGGCAGGGCAGAATGCTTGCAATCCGAGCTGCAGCCCTTGCATGCAGAATCTGGAAGGGACGTCCCATATGAACCTTTCCCAGTCAAGTTCCGCCCCTTCAACTCTCAAACCAGCTACCAACCTGCACCACAACTCCCCCCTCCTAAACATGCATATTTATGCTTGTCATCCTAGTTACTCTGGAAGCTGGGAGATCATGGTTCGGAGGCCAGCCCAGGTGGAAGGGTCCATGAAGCCCCTTTGCAACCAATAGCTAGATGCAGGGGCCTGAGTCTGTCGCTCTAAGCCTGTGAGAGGCTGGGATTTGGGAGGATCACAATCCCGTGTTTGGACAGCAACGCTTGCACGCCTCCATCTACATTGAAGAGGCTGAGAGGCGTGACTCCAGCTACCCCAGGAAGATGGAAATATAATGGATCAAAGTCCAGTAGGACTCCTGGGTGGGAAGCAAGACCCCAGCTCAAAAGGAATGTAGGCTTAGTGTAGATTACAGACCCTGAGTGCAAACTGCAGTTCTACTGAAAGAAACCAATGAAGTACTTATTTGATACATTAAACAAAAAATCTTGGGTATATGCTGCTAAGGTATTTCTATGACTTTTCCAGTCTTTTCTGTTGAGCCACATACAACTCTCCTCATCCTTCATACAAGCATTGTAAGAGGGAAAAAAAAAACCCCCTAATTCCTAATAATTAGTTAGCCAGCTCTCATCTTCATATGACGTGCTGAGGCTACTTGGCCTGGAGCATGGCTTTACAAGATGGCCGCCTTGTCTTACCACCCCCCACCCCGCCCTGCGGCCCTGCCATGTGTTCCCACGGCTCTCCATGGATGTCCTGAGGGATTTCCTACATACACACCATGGGCTTGTACCTCCCTGGATTCCTGGTGGCCTTCCTTCCTTCTTCCTCTCCCCCCTTCCTCTGCTCAGTCTCTGATGCCTCTGCCCCCCCCATTGTAATGTCTCTATATGCTGAGGTCCAGGGGAACCCTCACTACCCATGGTTCTGCCCATGCTTACATGCTGAGACTATACCCTCTCTATGCTGTGACAGCAGGAAAGTCGCTTAAACTCTCTGATCCACAGTCTAGCTGGAATAGTAGCAGTTGCAAGTACTAAGGTTAGAGTCAAATGAGTTACACATAGAAACAACCTGGAGGGTCACAGAGCAGCTTGTGCACGGAGGGTGAGTTCTTCCGCCAGTGTCTCCCTGCCCTCCTCAATCGAGCCAGCCACACCGGACGCCACCTATGCTCAGACCAGGCCTGTGCCTCCCACAGCCTCCTGAGAAAGTGTCCCCAAAGGCTTCATTCAGGCATATGGACAAGACTTGTCACCCCTTGACACCACTCCCTACATATCTGTTCTCTCCACACCCACTGCTTTAGCTCAGGGCTTTATTTTTCCAAGAGGCTGGATGGGAGTGTGGCTCAAAGGGTAGGGTGCCTGGCCAGGAAACATTCAGCCCCAAGTTTGAACCCCCTCTCCCCTTTACCCCCAAAGAGTCCGATGGCTGTATTCCGGGCCCCACTGCTACTTCCTCTAATACAGGTTCCAAGCAGAGCGGACGT